AAGCTCTGCATGATTCATCTTTGTATCCGTAGGGCAATTCTTGACACCGATTAAGAACTCAGTAGAGGTTTCTTAAACTTAATCAACATGGAACAGATTAGCTTTCTTCTTATACCTTTCAGTGTTACATGATGATGCTGTAGAAGGTTAAATTCCCATTATAAGATAAAATCTTCTTAGTTATAGTGCTTTCACTCTTCATTTTCCCCCCCGAACTTCCTCAATAATCTAGTGAAGGTCATATTCCAATATTCCCCCATAGAGATTCATATCATAATAGAAATTCAGTGTGAATGATCTATTCTGTTTTTTTTAAAGATATATTTATTTATGCAAGAACTGGAGTACAGGCCAGATGTGCTGGAGGGTGAGAGGATTCACCAGAGACAGAGTGGGGAACAGAACAGGCAGACTGATGAAATACACTGCTGAGGGGAGCAACAGGTGAAAAAGGAGGGGTCTGCTGCACCGTGTGGGTTTCTCCCCAGCCGACTAGGATCGAACCCGCGCTGCAGAGGCTGCAGACAGCTTCACAGTGTGGCACTCAACCTCCTGTGCCACCAGGGATGCCCCTATTCTGTTTTCTTAACGCACTATTTCTGTGACAGTTGCCTTTGTGAAAACAGGAATTTTTTTTTTTTTATTTTGGCAGAAAAAGTATAGCAAAATCTATCAAGATTGTCCATATATTTATAAGTTTATGATGTCATAATCTAGTATTGGCCTTGGTAGAATACAGTGTCAAGTCAGTAATTCAGACAAATATCTGCTTTCAGTTCATGAATTGTGTATGCCTTCCAGCTCCAGTTGTAAATAATAACCTGATAACCACTGCATTTTGTGCGCAACATATGGCACTGCTGCAGGGAAGTACTCTAAGTGATAAAAATTAAAGGGAAAAAAAGGTCATTCACAGTAAATACTTACCATCTGCTCCCAAGCAGAGTGGCAAGCAGCACCATGATGGAAATTTAGGGAGTGTTCCCACTCAGCCATAAATTGTTAAAGAGAACAGATGATATGTGATTTTACAAGTCATTTAGTAAACAGCCATTCCTGAGGCAAAAGGTCCATTTCTATTGGGAGCTCTCTGCTAAAGGCAAGAAACTGAACCATCCAAAATAGAATTATCTTTCTGCTTTCGTCTTCAATGTCAAAGGTCACACTGGTTGAATCACTTTAAACATCTTCAATTGGATTGCCCATTTGTGTGAATAATGTACTAAACCGAACATCAAAGTAAAGGGCTAGTCAACATGAATTGCTAATGAAAAAGGAAATAACACCATAGTAGGAACAAAACAAATTGGAAGCAGTGTGTAGTATATGAAAGATAAATAGAAGATGCTGGGAAGATGGAGGGATAGAAAGATAATAAGATATATAGATGGATAGATAGATAGATAGATAGATAGATAGATAGATAGATAGATAGATAGATAGACAGGTAGATAGAACGATCTTTGTGTGTGTGTAAGAGAGAAGAAAGACAAGATCATGCACTGAAATATGGATATTGGTTCCCTTGAGTGATGAAATTAGAAATGACTTTTCCTCTTTGTGCTTCTCTGAATTTTAGGATTTTCCACATGAACATTTATTTCTTATATAAAAAGGTCAAATGCGTTACATTTTAAGAAATAGTATCAAAAGCAAGGAACTTAAATGCTTCAAGGTATAAGGTCCTAATACCTGAAAGAAATACTCACAGAGTATTGCACCTAGGACTTGGGGTAGTTGGTGAGATTTGAGTGACTCTGAAGAGACAGAGATAGCACATAATTAAAAGAGACAGAAAAACGATTACATCAATCATAGAACCCAACAAATGGGGAAGTAGCAAGATCAAAGTAAGTTTGAATGTAGTGAAGATAAACTGTACAATCAGATCCCTTTTTTAAAGCATGTTTTATTTTTACTAGAGTGATGCTATTAAATTAAATAATCAACCTTATTTATCAGCTTTGATCTAAATAGCTGTGGGTCTCCTCAACAGATTAAATCTTTTTCTCCAAAATGTCAATGGAACAATTACTGCTTTTGAGAAAACTCCATTATGTTGCAGGGTCCTAAGGCAATTCCAAATGAGAAATTAAAATAAAGTTTTGAAATTCCAAAAATCATTACACTTTGAAAAGAATATCACAAATTTTTATGTGTGTTAAACTATAAGGCAATTTGTTTTCATATTCATGTTCTGTAAACCCTAAAAACCAGTGGGAAGACAGACTTAAACTGAATAACTTTTTTTTTCAAAACCATACTTCTCTACTTTACCAAGCCTTCCTTGTTTTCAGACTTCAGTTTTTGTGCATAAACTCAGGTCTTTGGTTTTCTACTATCTGAATATAACCAGTGATCCCTGATTGGTGGCCTTTGCTTCCTACTGTTCTATTAATGATGACCACTTGAAGGGATCCTGCTGCTCCATGGGACTGAGGTAACAGTCACAGGAACCACGTCTTGAACATTTCAGATTCCCTCATAATGCCCAGAACAGTGTCATGCACACAGTAATATTTCAATATTAATTTTGGCTGAGTAAATGAAAAAACCTTTTCATTTCCATTACACAGCTTATTAGCAGGTGGAATTCAGAGTAAGAGAGTTCCACCTACAACACACTGATCTAAATCAATGGTTTTCCCTTGAGACTATATCATAACCTAAAAAGGGAGAACAGTGTGACAAGGTTCTAGTGCAGTCACAGGAAAGGGGCATCTGTTTTGTTCTTTGTCGTTTTGTTGGGTTTTTTTTACTTTATTCCTCCATGTCCAGTGCCTGATTACTTCAAATTGAGAGTATTAATTTCTATGTTTGCTTTCTGAGAGTTGAGTCATATCATGTATTCATATGAATTTTAATCTATGTTTCTTTCACATTTCTGTGGGTCTTTAGGATGTAAATATGTATAAAATGTAGAATTCCTAGCTAAATGTATTGTTTTGTGTTTTCAGCTTTTATTATAGCCTGGGAAATTTGTTTCTCCCGTGGTAGATTGGTCAGAAAATACAGACATAATAGAAAACCATTCTGGAAATATGCAAATTTGAGGTTGGCTTGCCAATATTCAAAATAGCTTTTAGCCTAGCATTAATCATAGTGTTTCAAAAGTAAAAAGAAACTTGTTAGTCATTCATCTAGTCAATCTTTGCATAGTAAAGATGAGGAAGTAAAACCTGAAAAGTTTAAAGGACTTCTAAAGAATACTTAACTACTCATTGACAAAATCAAGATTAAACCTACTTATCCTACTATCTAATCACTACACTGTGTTATTCCACACGAAGAGATGAATAGTCAGCTTTTTATTTTTGGAAATCAGAACCTTTGAGATTATATGATTGCTGAGCAAACCATCTATAGCTTTTCCCTTGAGGATAGGAAATGCATCTTACACCATTGTTTTTCTCTTGTATATATACTAAATGTGTTACCTTGTATTTAGTATCTCTCAGATGAAGTGTTTGTTGATTGACTATTTGATTTAACTGAGTACAGAATCAATACATAATAGACAATTTATTGTGGAACTAATAATATAGTTAGACAATGAGTAACTGTTCTATGATAGAAAGTTATACCACTTAATTTTTTAGAGAGATAATACAAATGATTAAATGCATATATTTAGGAGTCCCAGATTAGGAGTCCCAGTCCCAAATTGCTTTGTGAACAAAAGCAAATAAAAATTTTAAATATCTCTTCCTCTTATAATAGGAATAATAATATCTGATTCGTGGTTGCTTGGAAGATTGAATTTGGTTAACTGTATAAATACTGTGGGGCCTTCCTGGTGGCGCAAGGGGTTAAGCACTACACTATGAAGCAATCCACAGCCTCTGCAGCTCGAGTTCGACCCCTAACCAACCAGGGAGCAACCCACATGGCGAAGCAGACCTCTCCTGTCTCTCCCACTGCTCCCCGCAGCCTATATTTCAGTCAGTCTGCCTGTTCTGTTCCCTACTCTGTATCTGGTGAATCTTCTCACCCCCTGCATCTCTGGCCTTTACCCCAGCTCTTGTATGCATAAATAAATAAATCTTTAAAAAAAAACTGTATAAGGACTTATAGTGATTTCATGTAGCAAATATACAATAAATTTTGGGTATGATCAACTGAAAATTGAGCATAAACATGGCTAAATCTGTTTTCAGAATATAAGTCAGGATTTGGACTAAATGACAAAAACTCTCTAGCCAGGGAATATTTTTTTAATCTGTTCTTTGAAGAAAGCAATGGGAAGTATATCCTTATCTGCTGGCAATCTGATGCCATAGTGATAGCAAGGTCCTACCAGAATATTGCAGTATGAAGAAAAACACTATAGGATATTCATTAAGTAGTTTAGTAATCATCAGTGAGTATTTGTTAATGATAATGAAGATGTTATATTTTTCCAAATGGAATTGTAAGCTTAACTTGCAGAGAGGAATCTTTTTAAATTCTCTTCTAAAGTGTCATGAAAATATGGAACGCCACTAAATCTATTAGCACAAATTTGTATTACTTGTGAAATTAGGTATTTTATATTTGCACAACCTATCCTAGCACTGAGAAGAAAAACAGGTAATATTCAAAGCACTGTTGTAAAAGAGAAAGTAGTGGCCACAGCCTATTTTTGAAATTCTTTCAAGCACAATTACTATTTTGAAAAGATGGAATTATCTAACAAGATTGCAGATTTGTCAATACATTACTCAAAGCTTAGTATCACATTTATAATCGCAGTGTCTGTAAAATTATATGTCAAGTTGAAGAGTTTTCACTATTTCAAGTAAGTACAACCACATCTCAAATTGTTTCCGTTTTCATGGGTATCAGAAAAAAAAAAACATTTTTAGGTCCCTCATCATTTATTGGGAGTCTAAATGTGGACCTGTTTGCCTAACTTTAACATAAAGACTTTCATAGAAAAGTAAACTGCTGCTAAGCGCTCCCAAACTTAAAAACTATGTTATGATTATTTATACCTGCCTTTTTTTTTTTAATTAATGCAGATGGACCTTATGGACTTCAAGTTAATTCTGATAAAGGCCTAAAAGTTGGGGAAGTGTTTACTGTTGACATTGGAGAAGCCATTTTGTTTGATTGTTCTGCTGATTCTTACCCTCCCAACACCTATTCCTGGATCCAGAGGGCTGACAATACAACATATGTCATTAAATATGGGCCTCGTTTGGAAGTTGCATCTGAGAAAGTAGCTCAAAAGACAACTGATTATATGTGCTGTGCTTACAACAATGTTACTGGAAGGCGAGATGAAACTCGTTTCACAGTCATCATCACATCTGCAGGTAAGTGTGATATAAAAGGCAGGACTCTCAATGAAACATAAACTCATGCTGACCTTGCCCTAACCCTAATATCTATGTGGAGGAGAAAATCATTGTTTCAAATAAACACAGTCGCATCTCAAATAGTTTCCATTGTCATGGATATCAGAAACTCTAAGAAAATATCTTGGGTTAATTAAACCATGGTTTCTGTGAGTCAAACAAAGAAAACCCAAAACAAAATGGAGGGGGAATTCAAACTGCTAACTCTGAGGATAATGAAGAAAAAGAGAATTCAATAAATTAATTGTGAACATACATTCTTGTTTTCTGATTTTGCAAACAGAAATAAAAGAGAATTAATAGCAGTAAAGGAAGAAGCTTAAGGATTATAAAAGGTTTATATCTACTATTGTATTAAGATAGATGAATATATCTCTGTCAGTTAGGAATTTGTTTTTTCTATTCCCTGTTTGACTCCCCTTCTCACAGTAATTCGTGGGCTTCCCTTCCTCTTTCACCATTAACACCTGAAAGCTGTGGACCTTCTTAACAAGTTTCTCAACACCTTGGAAACCACAAAACTTTGTAAGTGTGAAATTTGACATTCTCTTGATTTTTAAGAAGGTCATCAATACCAAAAACATTAAGAATCACTGCCAAAAATGTCAATGTGCACCAAATTCCTCCTTCTGAGTCTCCTCTCAATAGTGTGATTTAATTCACTTCCATGGTTTCTTACAATATAACAAACATTTATCTTTAAAGCTCCTAACTGTATATCCAGTTGCCTTTTGTATGTTTTTATTTGAAGTACCAGAGATAGCATATAAGTCCAACATATCAAAACTAAGTCCCTTTCCCCCAAAATTGCTCTTCTTTTTTGTATTCCTGATTTAAATGAATTACTCTCCTATCTACCAGAGGAAGGTAAAAATAACCCCTATTCCTCATCCAATCACCAAATTTCTCCAATCTCCATCTTTCCTGCCTCTCAAGTCCATTCTCTTTTTTTCCCTTTCCTTCTTTATTTTCTTCTTACTCTCTCCCTTTCTTTTCCCTCTCTCTTTTTCTCCTCCTCTTCCACATTCTCCTCCCTTTGCATCTCATTTTCCCTTTGCCTCTTCCTCTTCCATCAAATCCTTCCAGGACTCACTTTTGTATACAGATGAAAACAAGACAGTTTCCTTTTGGGAAAAATCTGGGGACAGGATTGGACAAGAAGTCATGTTTAGAGTGCCTGTAATTGTTGGGGGAGCAAGTTTGCAAAAGGTACCACCAATTAAGACCTTCTCTAGTGATATTTTCTCTTTCTCTCTATTTATAGCCCATGTCTAGAATAGGGCCCATAACATAGAGTCAATACATTTTGTTGAATAAACAAAACAAAGTATAATCCCTGCAGTTCTTAGGTTAGACTTTTCAGTATATGGCCCTTAGACCCTAGTGTCAAAATCATCTAACAAAGTCTAACAGAGTGTTTTTATTAAGATGCCTAAGACCTATTGGATCAGGATCTTGCAGGTAGGATCTTGAAATCTACACATTTAGCAAGCACAAGTGTGACAACTGTTTGTTTAAGGTGTTTTTTATTCCTCTACAGCCTTTGAATTATTACAAAGCGTTTAAAGCATCATTAAGAATTATAAAATAATCACAAACTACAGATTGATGAAGAAATATGCAGTGGATGAAGTTTTCTCAGGAGTCCTTAAAGTCGAGGGTATTTTACAAAATCACCTGAATATATTGGAATTTATATACTGACATGGTGAGGTTTATTTCATAAATGAAGAAAACACTGTATTCTCTAGAAGAGTGCAATCTAATAAAATAAACCTTCTGTTTCCAGTGAAGGAAATGTTTGATAGCTGCACTGTCCAGTGTGGTAGCCACTAACTTAATCTGGTTTGAAGGCATTTAAAATATGGCTATGCAACTGAGATACTGAAGTTTTAATTTTATTTCATCTTTATCAATTTTAATTTAAATGTAAATAGCTACATGTGTCTCATGGCCATTATATTTGATAATGTAGCTCTAGAATTTTCACCTGCATTAAGCTTTATTTAGGTAGAGATAATAATATATTTCTTATAGATTCCTAAAGCATTTATTCATTCTGTGTAATATAAATCAGGCACTCATTCATTTATTATTCAGTACTTATTATAGGGCAAATACTGGAGTAGACACTGAGAAAGACATGTGAAAACAAAATTTCCTGCTAACCATATGCTCATAGTATAGTATAGGTGTCAGTCATGTGAACAGCTAAGGTACATCTTTTGCTTTTTATTTTATTAAATTTTTAATAAGTCTAACAGCTTTTCTTTCACTAGTAGCCAAGACATAATTTTGTTTTATTTTATTTTTAAGACATAATTTTAAAGTAAGTTATAATTAAGCATATATAATAGTTTAGTAGCAACCTTAGACTTTACACTCATGGCAAGGAAAGACATGGCTGTAATATGGAGAAATATACAGAAATAAGACCTTTCCCACTCCCTAAACTTTCCCTATTAATATTTAGCTAAGATATTTTCATAATATCAGAAGCCCCCATATTTGATTAAGATCTTAGTACTAAGGTCCACAGATAGCTAACAGTCTTAATGTCAAATAATTACCATTTGCAAAATCTAAAAACCTGTTTGACCTGTACAAAGACCAGGCATTTGTTATTATAGTAAATAAGAAGAGCAGGTGCTTATTTTTCAGAGGGATTCAGGGTTGTCAACATTAGTGACCTCTTTGTGGTTTTTAGAGCTCTTTTCCAACCTCCAACATCGATAGAACTTTAATATAAACAGCAGCAAAGTAGCAAAGAAAGTGAGTGGTATTGGTGTGTTTTATTAGGTATTTGACTTTTTTTAAGTTTTCCAAATGAATGAATCTGTGATGCAAATTAAATGTATACCAATCTATATTGGAAATAATGAATATCACTTGTAACTATCATTTGATAGTCCATCCACTCCAAAAAGCAATCTGTATAAAGATCTGTGGAAAACAGAAATTATATAGAGGGATAATGTACCTGCCCATGAGATATTTTCAGAACCATGTTGTGTTTGGTGTAACCAGTCAGATTGTGAAAAGTAGATGAGCCTCTTCATTTTTTTTCCCATTGATTTATTTATTTATGTATATAAGAGCTGGGGTACAGGCTAGAGATGCGGGGGGTGAGAGGATTCAGCAGAGACAGAGTGGGGAGCAGAACAGGCAGAGTGACTGAAATACACTGCTGAGGGGAGCAGTGGGTGAGACGGGAGAGGTCTGCCTCGCCATGTGGGTTGCTCCCTGGCTGGCCAGGGACCCAACTCGTGCTGCAGAGGCTGTGGACCACCCCCCACAGCACAGCGCTCAACCCCTTGTGCCACCAGGGAGGCCTGCGAGCCTCTTCATTTTTAATGAAGCGAAGAACATGGCCAACCAAAAATTCTCAGCAATAAGACGCAGAAAGCAAAGGAAAAAGGAGTCAAAGATGCCTGCAAGGTGACAAATATAGAAAGGTCATGACTAACAAGATCAGAAAATAATCAGAATTTTTATTGGGGACTTTGAGTTGGGTAAAGGACACTGGAGCATGTTATAATTAGCTCGGTTTTCCTGCCTGTATGAGACTAGACAGGTAGTATCTCCCCAACTCTGAACTGTGATTCACATCTAATTTGAGAAATCAATTATTAGAGGTATCCTAAAGAAAACAGGGACAATAGGCAAAGTCACTTAACTAGGAAGTGAAAAAATAGTACCTGAACTCAAAGCCCTTATTTTTAACCACTATGGAAACTGTCTTCCTTGATATTTTTGACTGACATATCAATAGAACTATGGTCTTTCTAAAAGATGTCACATGTGTATTAGCTCATCACTTTATTGTCAGAGAAATACTCTGGTTTATCTATGACATGTATATACTTTCACATTAATGCAAAATTGTGAAATATATCTAACTAAAAATATCTACAATATGTTTCTAGGAAATAATAATTAAAATAATAGATTAACATTTGTATCTCAAAGAAAAATGATTTTATTACCTTGAATGCAGATGTCCCTACTTTAAAATTTTAAGTGGATCTGAAACACTATTGTGATATACATATATTATAAAATTTAAAAAATCAGATCAGAATTCAAATTGTCACATTTAATGGAGATATTCAAATGTACAAATTATTCTCAAGGGTCACATAGCCATAGTTTGAGATGTAGACCTAATAAATACGTTTAATTTGTATGTGATCCTGTAAACTCTATCACTTTTTGTATTTATTTCTATTGCACATCTTTTCATTATAAAGAGAGTAGGAAAACAACCCACAACAGGAAAGTAAATTTACTAATGTCTTCTACTGATATATATACCTAAAAATTTCAGGTTAATATCTCCAGGAGATATATTTCACTTTAGGCCTCTGGAAATAACAACTGAGGTACAACTACAACTTGACATTCGTTCAGACTGTAAGGCCTAGGTGACATTCCCATGAGCATGTAGCTCTGAATAACTGTGTCTTTCAGAAGGGGCTGTGGGAGAGTGCGGAAATAACACGCCCCTAAATATGGCAACTTCCTCGCCATAGAAACATGAATCAGCTGCTATAATTATCAAAAAGATTGGATAGGAGAGATCTCAGAACTCCATTCTGATCTAGAAATAGACGCACTGCCTGGTAGCATATGGTTGTCCTGTTCTGGGTGCAATCTTTCCAACAGCAGGGTTGCGATACCATGGATACCACACCTCTTGCCCATATTTGCACTTAATATGCTATTTCATTTTATTTGTTTGCCTAAGGAGGGGGCAAATAGCATTTACACTAGGGCTTTGGTAAATGAGTCAATCATGTTTAAATAATGGTGAGAATGGCATGCTATGCACTAAAGAGTAGAAAACTTTCTGAATGGAGAAAATCTGGGGATCCTGCAAGTGTCCAGAAAATTATTCAGGGCCCCTATATATTCTCTGTGGCAATCAAATCAGACCTCCCCTACTTCCTATTTTCAAT